TATAATACATACCTAAATAATAATACAATCAAATAAAAGAGGCAAGAAAAGAGACAGAAAATGCAATGTTTATTCTAGCCTACAACTATCGTTCATGTTCGTGATCATATGTGTTATCGGCGCCCTTTTTTTGACATTTGTTCTGCATAAAGGTGGATAAAAATACAAATGGGACCGAGAATTTATGCGCGGCACCACTATATTCACTCGCGACAACAACCACGCACAGTCGATCTCACCACACATCAACTTTTGCAAGAACGAGGCACTTTGGACCATTCTTCTATCCTGCAGAGAAGGAAGCTTGTGGCGATGCAGTAGATCTAAGTAGTTCACTCCTTTAGGCGGATATTGACCATCCATACGATATGACAAAAATTTGAGAAATCGACGCTGGACTTTCTCAACCATTAGTTGTTGTGACGTGTAAATAGGGTACCATATTACAGAGGCATACTGGAGGCGAGAGATCACCAGAGCCATAAATAGCGTTTTCAGGGTACCAAAATCAGCAAATCGACCCAAGATCCTCAGTATGAAACCCAAAGTTCTCCAAGCCTGAGAGCACATCTCCTCAATATTGGGCAAGAAAGAAAGTTCTGAGTCAAACAGCACTCCCAGATCCTTCACCGTAGAGACCCTTGTTAGTGGTATGGAAGCCGCAATATAAACTGTGTCGATTTTATTTAACTTCTTTGTAAATGATATGTAAGTACATTTACTGACACTTAAAGAAAGGGCATTGAAATTGCACCACTTCTGAATAATGTCCAGGTTGTTCTGCAGCATCCTAGAGTCATCCAATGATCNATTTACAATTTGATTTTAACGTGATTTCTAAGAGATCAGTAAAAAATAGGATAAGGAAATTTATGTTGAAAAAAATGGCAAGATAGATGGGATAACTCAGTGACTGGGAGGTTGACTTACCAGTTTATACCTAGAGTTGGTAGGGTAGATAGATTTTTAAAACCCGAAACTGTTGAGTTAATTACTGGTCATGGCAATTTTGAGGAGTATTTAAATAGAATTGGAAAATTTGAATCTCCTCTGTGTTTGTGCGGTGATGAAAGTGGAAGCTCGATGCATGTTTTATTTAGATGCAAGAACAAATTTGAAGAGAGATGTAGATTACAGAATAGAATGCTGATTAAAGGTATGGTATGGCCGAATTTGGAAGAAGATGTTAAAAACATTGATAAGTGTGATGAGTGGTGGAAAATTTTAAATGAATGTGCCGTGTGTTTTATTGATAAAAAATAAATTGAATTAGTGTAATAATTATTAATAATTAAACAAATAATAAAAATAAAAAAAGAAAAATAAAAAATAAAAAATAAAAAAAAAAATAAATAAAAAATATAAAAATAAAAATAAAAATACAAAAATATTAATCTATTAGTTTGCCAATTGATTTTTAGAATATTTAAAGCGTTGCTTAGTTAAATAATTTATTTTGCGTATTTTAATTGCTTTAAAATCAACGCTTATGGAAGGGAAAGGGGAGGTAGAGAAAGTCGTTGGTAAATTGTATTTATCTATTAATCATTTAGATTAAATTTTAATTGAATGAAGTTTATTCTTGGTAAATGTATAGGTGTAGTACCTTTTGGTGGAGCACCTTAAGATTTAAATTTTTATTAATTTATCTTTAAACGATATATAGTGTCCTCCTTGTGTAACTGGCGTCCTTCGTAACGGAAGAGTCACTAGTTGTGACACCTAGATGTGTATTCTCTCGGCATACAGATACCAAGTAGCGTAACAACCGCCTTTAACTAGTCTAACGACGGGTTGTTAGATTATCTTTAAGATCCGCCAGGCATAAACCATCGAAGAGAAGGTAGATGTCGGCGTGTAGAGTTTTAACCTGATTTTATACTTCTTTATCGTTGTCGAAGAGAGCTCAGAAGAGGTGATGGATAGTTGCTTCTTGGGTTGCCTATTTCCTAACTCTTGATGCAATAGTCCCTTTCCTATGAATGTTGTACTCTATCTCTCGACGGGTTAAGTATTTGTCCTCTTAAGCGAAAGTGGAGCCATGTTTCGAGTTCTATTTGTCTCGGTTTATATTCGTCACAAACCCCTTACGGAGGTGTCTATGACGACAACGGGCTCCAAATTCTGCTTATGGTCCACATCAATCAATTAATGTTGCCGATGTTGAGATGGTCTGGGATCCACCAAGCAATTATAATACGAATAACTTCGAAGTAGTGATAATGCAAAATGTCAATCAGTCTAATGAGCTGGATTATTTGTATACGTAATTCTAGCACAAAAAGGGGGAAATCAGAAGAGATACACAGTAAGCACATAAACACGTAGTTTTAACAATAATAATAATAATAATAATAATAATAATAAACTGCTTTATTGTTCTCCTAGCATACCAAAAAAAAANAAATGTATAGGTGTAGTACCTTTTGGTGGAGCACCTTAAGATTTAAATTTTTATTAATTTATCTTTAAACGATATATAGTGTCCTCCTTGTGTAATTGGCGTCCTTCGTAACGGAAGAGTCACTAGTTGTGACACCTAAGTAGATGTGTATTCTCTCGGCATACAGATACCAAGCAGCGTAACAACCGCCTTTAACTAGTCTAACGACGGGTTGTTAGATTATCTTTAAGATCCGCCAGGCATAAACCATCGAAGAGAAGGTAGATGCCGGCGTGTAGAGTTTTAACCTGATTTTATACTCCTTTATCGTTGTCGAAGAGAGCTCAGAAGAGGTGATGGATAGTTGCTTCTTGGGTTGCCTATTTCCTAACTCTTGATGCAATAGTCCCTTTCCTATGAATGTTGTACTCTATCTCTCGACGGGTTAAGTATTTGTCCTCTTAAGCGAAAGTGGAGCCATGTTTCGAGTTCTATTTGTCTCGGTTTATATTCGTCACAAACCCCTTACGGAGGTGTCTATGACGACAACGGGCTCCAAATTCTGCTTATGGTCCACATCAATCAATTAATGTTGCCGATGTTGAGATGGTCTGGGATCCACCAAGCAATTATAATACGAATAACTTCGAAGTAGTGATAGTGCAAATTGTCAATCAGTCTAATGAGCTGCTTTGTATACGTAATTCTAGCACAAAAACGGGGAAATCAGAAGAGATACACAGTAAACACATAAACACGTAGTTTTAACAATTGCAAATGACCTAAACTGATCGACAAATGATTTACCAGTCATTTATAAAACTTGAGTATTAAAATTTGTACTTATTGGTGTAATGTACATATTTGTTTATTTATTCTCAATCGGTTTTGATTGGCACCGCCAATCGTCATTTGGATGAACTAAAACTATACACAAATACATATTAGATAAATACATATTTGTATGATTGATTTTATAATACATACAATTTTATTTCTCCAGATGATGATTGACGGTTATATATATGGATTATATAAATGCATTACACCAGTAATTGCAAATTTTAATTCTCAATTACATATCACGGTGTCAATAAACTAGTCAAAAATGGTGTATTAGGGACTTACAAACCAGATCAATAGATCTAAACATAATACATTGCAAAATATAGGTTTATCTGGGTCAGTATGCGTTTTGTAACAGGTGCTCTGTTAGAGGACAATTTTGAAGTTTGCAGATTAGAACAATTTTTATTATATGTAGGTATACATAGTAAAGGAATTTCAAGATTTTGAAAATATTGAGAAAGGTTGTGGTTCTGATTACTACCATATATGTACATAGTCCAATGGAGAACGTATGTGCAGTAGAAATGTAACTGGGTGAGTAAAGGTAGCAATATCCACAATTAAAATATTGCAAAATGTAATTTAATATTTCATTTAACATACGTAAAAATTGTCTAAATTGGTTGATTTAACTCAAATTTAATCGATGGTTTAAAAAAAGGCATCATAAGTACACAAACCTAATTTTAGGAACTCTTGTCTGAAGATAGAATTTTCGTCTTATAAATTTTCTTTTACCAGTTATGGAAATCAATTGAAAAATTTTCCCCGTGAAGTATACTTGTAAAATTGCAGCTTGAACTAGCTTCCACCAACATTTTTGCTTACTTTGTAGGTCTCTTCACGATCAATTCGTTTTAAGTGTCTCTTTATAACGCCAAAATTACGATCGCAATGTAACCTTACTGGGTAGTATTGGATAACTTTGTCAAATCGTCCACAGGAAACCAGAATCGGATAACAGTATTATTCCGCTTTTGTCCTGAGCTAGCATCGGAAAATAAATAACCTTTTTGGATGTTTTTGGTACATTATTTGTAACACAACCACTGAGAAAAGTGTAAATTTCAACCCACAGAATTCACCCACAGCTACCAAAGGTAAAAAGCTTTCTGTACAGGAATGTGGAGTAGAGATTTTAAATAAAATTACTTTAATTTCCTGGTATTTTGTACAAAAATAGAGTGATATGTTCTTTTCAAAACTATTGATTCAATTCCTTTCTTACTTTTTTATAGTGATGGCACGTTGACGTTTAATTGCACTTAACCCCCTTTGTTGACATATAACTTTGACAAGCGATAAGATTTCACCTCTGAAACAGGGCACGTTTCATGTACACGAAATGCCCATTTGAGTTTATTAAATATTTATAAGGGACGGAAGATAGCTTTAATTCCCTAATATCAAAACGGACAAACTGATTAATTAATCAAATTAGATACTTGACTCTCTAAATCTACTTTTAAGAATTTAAGTACCCTCTAAGAATTGGGTCATAATAATTTTAGTAAGTTTTCGTTTCAAGTCTTATTTTCATTTATTACTAATTAATTAAATTCATAACTGTCTACCTGAGTAATAAGGAGTAATTACTTCTAATTTAATTTAATTAGTATTTAGTGACTTTCCATCTTTAGGAGATAAATCGAAGATACTTTGGTGGTTCCAGATCTATCTTTTGCGGTCCCTTCGCGCACCCTGCATCTACCAAACTTGGCGCAAAGTTTGGGTTTTCGGTCAGTGTTCGTCGGTCGTTCGCGCAGTGCGTTCCACCAGCGAACGCGAAGAGAACGAACAGTCGTACCAACTGTAATACGCGAACGCGATGCCTCCGGTTTCCAACATCGGACACAACTGACGCTGATTTACGCTCCCCGAAACCCCAAACATACGGTGAAACCGGATAATGTAAGTTTCGCGACTTCCTAATTAGTCGATGATGAAGATTTAAATGTGTGATTGTGAAAAGTGTGGATAGATGGAAAGGTTGATGATTATGTATTAATTTTTTTTGTTTTTTTTTTGGATATCAGTGAAAAGAAAAAAAAGGGATTGTTTTTCATTTATATAGCAAAAAATCCTTTTAAAGCTAGCTTTAATCTAATTTTTTTGATACAGCTTTTAAAATGCTTTAATCTGGTTTTGTTTAAAGGCGGTGTTTTTTTTTTAATCTAAATTATTATGCTGGTTAATAAATTTTATCAGGATATTTACATTTTAAACCTCTACCTAAATTTATTTTAATAATAAGCCGAATCTACAAATAACAAAGCAAAACCAAACCAAATTAAATAACAATAATTTCGGAATCAATCAATTTCGGTTATGCATAATACAATTTCAATACGGCAAAAGCTAGATCGTGTACGGGGTAACGATTAAAAGCATTGGAAAATATTCGTTCGCAACATTTTGACCGGGTTGAGGTTTTAACCATTTTCCATAAAAACAATGTTTTGAAATTGTTCAATATTTTCTTTATACGTATATATATTCTATATAAATTAAACTAAAATATTATGAATTAGAAAATGGCGGAGGAGCCGGAAAATTATAAAAAATGTTCCATAAATTTCAATTAAAATAAAATCACGTGAAAGAGCTGGTAAATTTATAATCCCTTAAAAGGTAAATCTGTACGTATAATTGCAACAATATTTTGAAATTGTTCAATATTCTTTTTGTGCGTACATCACCATGAAAAATTGAATTAAAAAATATCCACCCTGACGGTTCGGGCATTAGCATATTTCCTGGACGGCCTCTAATTGCTTGCGTTTTAATAAATTTTAGGAATTAGCGGCGCGACAGTCCGGTTGTTGTTTATTTTCGTTTCAACGTCGACTCGGTTTCCGCAAACGGGTACGGCACCCCCCGTTGGTGTTGGTTTTATGAACCAATTTTGCTTGCTTTGTTCGAACTCACCGGGGCACGCTGCGAAACCCATTTTGTACTAAGAATGTTAACGCCCTTGCCCTTTGTAGCCCCTAACTGATGTCGCTATTTAGTATTTTGCGTGTTTTGTATCCCCCGGACTCCCTGAATATTTTATGACGGATTATTCTCTTTATTCCCCTTGCGTTTTCTTTTTAGTAAGGCGATAAAACGAGGTTAATTCAATTCGCTTTTTATCATAGAAATATAAGTAAACGTAAAGTTCGTAAGACTTCATTTCACGTTTAAGTTAACGCGCCAAAATGAATTTTGATTAAAAAAAAAATTTTAAAACTTTTTATTCTGTCACCGTTAAGGGAGGTTTGGAAAGTGCGGTTAATTAAGGGACGCTCAAATACGCGTAATTGAATGTTTGCCGCTGAACTTGCGGGGCACTATTTAGCGGGGGAGCTGTAACGTATTTTAAAAGTTCACGAACAAAGTTTCCGCGGACTCTGCCTTTTTCATTAATATTTATTATGGTCTGGGCCAACTTACGCTTACTCGGGCCTCGAATGAATTTTAAATTTTACGAGCGCGATAATTCCTCGCCTAATACGGTCCCTGTGATTAAGTTGGTAACGCGCGCTTATTAATATTTAGGGAATTATGTGGCCGTTGGGAAAAATTTATCTTGACCTTTTCTCTTAATGCTTCCCCATCAAACGTAAGTACATCATTATTTAATTTCAAAATGTTTTTAGGTCACACGTTTCATTTATTAACCGGTTTAAGTTATTCAACTGAATAAAATTTAAAAATTTGCTTTTACTCTATGATGTATGTACTTACCCTACATGTCAGTGTTAACCCAACCAACAGAATCCCAACACCTTATTATATACTTGTTTACAAACTAGTATTCCCTCGAGAAACACTAAAGCCTGTTAGATTCGTTATTTTCAATCACGGTAGAAAACCACAACGTGGTTACTCTCCCGCCTCCCTAATCGGATTTCCTTTGCCTAATTAAGTGAGGTGGACGTATAACAAGCGAAAACTTGTGTAACGAAGTAAAAACTTTGTAGCACCTAGTGAACAAAAACGTCATTATGGCGTTTCTAGTGGTAGCGTCGCGACACCGCGCCGCCACCATCACCGCGTTCTCGCAGCTTTCGTGACTTTAATTGGTGGCAAAAAGCTCGCATTATACGTTCGCATTAGGGGCGAGCAGTTTTAATGTCGCCGGCGCGAACTCCTGCGACTCGGACAGAGAGTTACGGTCGCTATCAGTGTGGGGCTTTTTGTAACCTGCCCTTTACGCCCCATTCACCCGTGCCCCTGGTACGTTGGGTTTGTGAAAACTGAAATGTCTGGTTAATTAAAGTGTCCGTAAATGAGAGAAATTGTACAATGGTATTTTAGAGGAATTTTTATGAAATGAAGAAAATTGGTGGACGAGGAAAAATTTATATTTTTCTTCCTTATTGTATTCTATAAAACATCCCTGTACATGTTTTATTATTACATATCTTTATTTCATAAGAGCTGACAACAAAGCCTAACTTTCTAAAATTAGATTCCAACTAGAAACTAATTATGGCAATTTAGAAAAGTTAAGTAAAGTGAAGAACAAAATCATTTTTTTGGTAAGCCAACTCAACAGAGAAACTTTAACAAACCTCATAAATGTTATTAATATACTTACATAAAGTAATGAATAGTTAGAACCGCAACAATGGAAGTTCTGCTTGACTTGCTACTTTAAATTTGCGCAAGATTGTGCTCAAAACTTGCCTCTCTCTGTATGATATTGTAATCACGGATGCTTTAACAAAAAGAGTGAATAATTCGAATCAATCTTTTTGAATATTTAAGCATTTCTCTAGCCAATATAAATTGTATTGGCCCGATAATAGCTATAAGATAACATTAAATATAATTGGGGAGATAAAACGAGCTTTTCTAATCTGGGTCCCGCGTTATTCCAGCGCTTAACCATCTTAACAATTACCATATCTGAGTTCGAATGGAACACTTTACACGACATTACCCTTTAAAGTACATCTTAACATAATGAATTTATGCGGCGCTTGGTTTATGCTATTGACAATCATTTTCAATATGAAATACCAATTGGGTTTATGAGTTTAACCCTGATTTTGAGCTTAAAATTGAAAAATCACAATTATCTTATTCGGGACGAATCTCAAGATACATAACAATCAAGAATCAAAGAAGCAATCTTTTTAAATGCTGTGTCTTTACTGACTTGGTGAATTTGAACCATGATTTAATGTGGTGAATATATGGTACCAGCAATTTTATCTCTATTTAAGAACATACATTAAATACAATTAAAGTAAAAGTCAGGAACAAGTTCAGCAATGTTGGTTATGCGTAGGGTGAAGATTATACTATCTGGGTTTTAGCCATATAAGAAGGTCCTTCTAATACACTGTGGGAGTTTTTGAAATAGTGTTTTGAGCTAATAAAAGTACATTCATTACATAGTGTAGTAATCATAATACTAGGCACATATTTTACCATTGCTTCATTTAAACCAAAGCAGTTATACGATTTATTTTCATGTTATCGACTTTCATATTTGGGTTCGAACCTTTTACCAGGGAGGTTGTAAAAATTGTGGCATATATTAGAAGTATGACCAATCAATAATACAGGAATAAGCACACTTAAACAATTATGTGAACAGTCTTAGTACATAGAAAAATTGGGCAAGGTTGTCGCAACAACCTTTCTAGTGACTAAAGAAGTTAGACAGGACTGCTTCTTGTCTCCAACACTTTTTAAGAATTTTCTGAATGAGGCACTGAAAAGAGCTATTACAGTAGTCAACACCCATTTTGCATTTGGGATGTGATATATCATTTTATATGTATTTTGGTATGTGGAATCCAAATATACCTTTCGAAATCTTCTTATGGTGTTGTATGAGCCTAAAGACCATTTCTCAGACTGTTACTTCTGCCTCACAAATATTACAGGGCATTCTTGCAAAACTCGACATAAAATGGCTGCAACGTGCAAACCACGGGAACTGACCCAACGTCAAGTGAATCAGAAGGTGCTCAACATGTAGAAGAGTACTGCCCACAATATGCTAACATTTCGCTCCAGCTCTTTAATCAAAAGGAATTGAACGATTTGGTTGGCAATCTAAAACTGTGACAATGGAACTTTGTAGCTCCTTGGGCAAAAATTTCCTGTTTTAGATCAAGAGCAGAGTTCAATGTGCGTTTATCGAGATGTTAATGGTCTGCTGATGCAACATAACCCAAAGGAGTGGCTCCAGTAAAACGAGCTTGAAAGCAGTACTACTGCATAATGGCAATACATTCCCATCGATGCCTTTTTAAAAATACCTGCTTATTGTGCCTATGGCACATCCGTGAGACTAAGAACCACAATCTACTCTAATCATAGTTTATAAGACAACCATATATTTCTGGGTAAGAAAATGTGACAAGCACTCTATTGGTTAACCTCGACAAAATCATTTTGTCACTTCATATCAAGATGAGCCCTATGAAGAACTTTGTAAAAGCTTCGATATAGGACGACTGATTAATTTCATTAACAAAAAAGCTGTAAAGGTTTCATCTTTTGCTTTGGTCAGATGAAAATTGATTTCTGTTATGGTTGACTGAGAGGTTGAACATTTCGAGTTGCATCGTATACTTACACAGATTAACGCCTACGAATAAAATCGCAAAATAGAAGAAGAAAACGAAGTTGACCTAGTACCAACTTAACACTCCTTAATCTGCCTCCACCAACATTCTAGTTTATGTTTGCCTGGAATACTAAAAAAAGTTAAAAAAGATGTATTTAGAAGCCGCTCGCAATCAGCATATCACAATAAACTTAAAAACGAATGCTTTGTAAATGAAAATTGCATTATTCATTTACGAAAATTGAAATTTCCAGGAATTCAGAAATTTATGATAGTAAATTTATTAGTTATTGTCTTATTTTCATGAAATATATTCTTCCTTTTGTTCCTCTAAAGA